AAGAGTCTCATTATATAAGACAAAATCTATCTAGTATAAATCACCATTCAATCCTCTACTACCTTCTATTAAAATATTCTTCTAAAACGAACAAAAATTTTTCTTCGGAAAATCGCCCTAGAGGAGGGGTACGGGGACTAAAAGAATAAAATTCTATATGAACAAGTCTGGAGGGGGGTACGGCAATTTTTCGAAGAAAAATTTTTGTTCGTTTTAGAAGAATATTTTAATAGAAGGTAGTAGAGGATTGAATGGTGATTTATACTAGATAGAATTTGTCTTATATAATGAGACTCTTCGAATAATTTTTTAATAGAAATATACTGAAAATTAAGCAAAATATGCCAAAGATTAATATTTACATGAGGAGCGGACCCCTTTGGACCGTTTCTTTTTCAATCAAAATTAGTCCATTTTGAAGAGCTTTTCAAGGAGCAGTTTCTGGAAAAGTTTGAATGTTGTCATTCGAATTATAGTGAAGAACGGAGCATTATAATGAAACCCTTTTTTCCAAATTTCAAGGAAAGCATAGTAAAATCCAAATAACTACCTTACATTGACGTACATGATTTTCATTCTTTATCAGGTTAAAGTATCGATCATTTGTAGTCATTTTGTAGAGAAAAATTAGCTGCATCTTCTGGTATATAACAGTTAAGGAATCGATCAACCTATGTGCAAGTTTTCTTACTCGTAAGTTAGATATGTCTAGATGAGAACATACGTAAATAAGGAGAGCCCTCCTCAGACACAATGCCTATGCCTCAACGAATTTAGCAAAGTCTAATTGAAGAAAAAAAGGTACAGAACCATGTAAAAATCCACGGGCTTTCTTTCTAGAACCATTTGAATATCGATTATGGGGGAGCCAGATTTACGGACTTATCCGGCGATGTCCTTTATTCTTCACAGGATTTTTTTCCAATTATTGATCGTTGCATACCTGCTATTAAAGGGTATTTCCACCGGGTCTCATCCATGATGTACCAACTTGATGTCTGATTTCGATGAAATTTTCAGAGTTTATAGAGCTTTTAATTCTGAGCATTTTGATTAAAAAAAGTTTTCAAAAAGCTTTTATTTTGGCAGAGATAGACTCAAAATACTGTTAGCTGTAAAAATGAAAAATCTCAAAAAACGTTTGTTTTCACTATTTTGACGAAAAGGTTTTGATAGTTTAGTTCGCTAAAGTAAGGTCAAAAATAAAATCTAATGTCATATTCGGGTTCCTCGTGAAAAGGCGCATCAAACCATACTAAATTTAACTTAAATTTCGAAAAAAATTGAATCTAAGGTATGTCTTGACTACAGGCTAGTGCAGCGCTATCTTGCGTCCTCGATTATTTCAAAAATCCGAATTGCTCGATATGATGGCATAGTGTATTCGATAGAGCGTCGCTCGCCCTACAACTCTGATACGACACAATTTTCAGCAGTTGAAATCCAGCTGAAATTTGAATCAACTTTGTAAAGAGCTGCTTTCACCTATATCTCTTAAGATCGACTGAGGTGGAAAAAATCTATAGCTTTTACAAATGACTAGTCCCAATTTAAATGAAATTTGCAGCGTTTGTGTATCTTTTGAAGATGATTATTTCGAGCAAAAAATATCTGTTGTTTGATCCTCTTGTTGATGCTGAAATATGCCATTTATTCAGAAACGTTACATTGATAAGTCAGTGAACGATGAGTTCATCGTATTAAGTAAAATCTAGTTTTATATTATATGCGAATTTTAACATGAACAAAGCATGTATATTGAAAACATGTTGAAAAGATAGTTATTTAGAAAAGCTTTTGCTTTCAGAGAAAAGTTTTAAGATAATATTGATAGTTGAAAAAGACAAGATATAGATAGATAAATATATGGTATATTGATCATTGGGTTTATGTTGTAAGAAGAATGATAAACATAGATAGATGACATGATGGACTTTATTACTCAAGATTTCTTCTAAAATCTACTAGATATAGAATGTCTGGATGCTCCTAGTTTGATTTAAAGTGTAAGATTGCACTCTTGTGACTTGTTTTTGAACAATGAAACTCAACGTTTAATTAGCGAGGAGTACTCTGAATAACTTGTTAAATTTAAGGAGCAAACTGTTCAATAGTCATGAAATACTTACTTTTTTAATGGATTAATGCTTTTACTTTATCTACTTCAAAACTTCATGAAATAAATATTATGCTTTTAAGTTTCCTATTTTTACTGCTCAATAGCGTTGAACATAGCATTTCTCTATCTGAATCTACTATAAGCAAGGCATGTCAATCACTTTTTTCAATATAAGAATAATTATCAGAAATACCAAAAGCAATCAAATCAAACTATGTCTAGTGAACGTCTTTCTTTTTTAGACAACGACGCTTGAAGCTTCTAAGCCATTTTTATTACAAGCACCTGTATCTGTTCGTCTTATCAATAAAGCAAATGGCGTAAGTATATATCATTTATTTGCTTACGTTTATGAATTCTTTTATCTAAGTTTCAGTAGTCGGATCAATCAAATCGTTAACAATTTCTCAAGAGGTTTTGATCAAGCCGGCAGTGAAGCCCTATCACATAAAAACATCACTAATACTTTTCTTGAACATTTTTTAAAGAGCTTTTTTTTCTTATTTTTATTAGATTCGATTTATCTTTTTTTTATTAAAGATTCATCTTGTAATTTTTTTAGCTTTTTTTTTTATACATTACGTGCAATACTCTAGAAGCCGTGTGTATTGGATGCTCCTAATCACTTGTGTATAATAACATTTACTATGATTTTTCTCTAAAAGTCATATCTGAGTTCTTACAACAAGGTGAAAGAATAAATCTTGCATACATTTAATTTATAAAAGAATTCGATTTTCTCTAATGATTTTTGTATTGTATGACAAGATAGATAGCTGTTATCAATCAGCGCCATCTCATATGACATCCAGCGCTTAGAGGAATCGTGCAACATGTTGCAATGGCAATTTTGTGTGTGTAGATCCAAGTGTGTGTAGCTTATCTCAACCTAAACATTCAATTAATTGTCTATGAGATTCGATGAAATTTTGACAATGAATCACCATTCGGTGATCATAACCATATCCTGTTTGCAATCTTCTATAGCCTTCCATTTGTTCGACTATATTTTTGTATCTGGAAACACATAATGAACTTGATTGAGTAACATTGACCATTTGGTATGAAATTGTTAATTGATACGATTTTTCATATAAGTAAGGATGAGTTTTTCAATTGAAAAGAATCTCGAAGAAACAAAAAATTGATCACTTAATTTGTGAATTTGTATTTACATGTAAATTATTAACTGAACATCGTCTTATGCGATGATGTGCATTCCCATGTGATGAAAATCGGACAAAAATCGGCGACTTATCATGCCGATTAATTGTGAGATTATATCGCGATAAAATCGCCACTTTGAGCGATTTTTGCCGATTTTTTTCCAAAAAATTGCGATTATTCCGTGATTTTCCTCTAACCAGTAAAGATGATCCGCTTCAGTTCTCATCGTAACATTTTACTATATTTTCTTTCTTCTTTCTTATTGCAACTTTTAGTTTGCATTAAAAAGGTCTTTCTTCACTTTAAAATAATTGTTTATTTTTAAAGAAAATAATAAGTTAACAAGATTTAAATGAAAAAAAACAATATTACACCGAAAACGTTTTCGTGGTACATAAAACGTATTTCGGTCGAAAGAAAAAATAAAAAAGCAACACAACTTTAAGCAAAAAATGAACAATATTTGTATACCTACAAGTTTATTAGTCAATGTGTTTATTCGTTTCATGTTTCTCTTTGTTGTTCATTATTGTTTTGATTGGCAGCTGGTCCTGTTGAAGCAGTTGTAATGGATTCATCTAAAGCAACACGAAAATAAAGTCATTGGATAATTTATAAAATGAAACTTTTTTAATTTTATCTTATCCATTGTTGCTTTTAACTTTAACCTTCTTCCTTGATTGCGTCGTTTGCTGAGTATAGAATCATGAACAGCCAGCCAAATCATCGCCATGTCGTTTACTGAATAACTGAATTTTTGCTTAATGACACCTACAACAAACAAAGTAACAGGAAAATCTATATAACATTGTTTTAAAACGTTATTGATTACGTACCAAATATCGTTTTAATTCTTGGATCTTCACCAATTTTTTGTAATAATTTCAAAATGTGACTAACTGACTCACTTATTGTCAAAAACATCATCATAGGAAAAATACATGTGAACAGAATATCGATAAAATAAAAACTAAGATAACATATCATCCTGTGCAAAATAGACCGATCATCTAATTCTTTCCATTAGTTCCTTGTACTACTTTCGTTTGCTCTCAAATTTATACCACAAATACATCGACTTGTCGGTCTCTATGCATTTCCAAAGTTTCAGCCATGACTAACGAGAAATGAATAAAAAAACTAAAAAACTATCTCACGTATTTTTGCATCGTTCTACCAAAACTTTACAGATTTTCTGGTCATTTTTAATGAACCTCTTTTTTTTTTGTTCATACTAAAATTTACAAAAATAAATCAAATTTTGATCATTATTTTCCATTGTTTGTAGAATGATGAAAAAATTATCGAAAAAATTTGGATCAACAGAAAACAATAATCAAAATTTCACGCGTTTCGTAAGCTTTAATATGAACGAAAAAAAGAGGTGCATTGAAAATGACAAGAAAATCCATAAAGTTTTGTTAGAACAATGTAAAAATACATAAGACAAATTTTCAGTTTTCTCATTCATTTCTTGCTACTCGTGACTGAAACTTTGGCAATACATAAATTGATAATCAATGTATCTGTGGTATAAATTTGAGAGCAAATGACAATAGTATAGGGAAGCCATCCAAAGAAATTAGATGTCACGTTTATTATGTACAGGATATATATATATAAAACAGCGAATTAGAATTTTTTTATCAATACATGTTCAATAATGCATGAGAAGGATAAATAACAATTGAATGAAGAACGATATAAATGAATGAATAAACGGCTGTTCCTCTCTATATTGTCGCAACAAAGAGACAAAGAAACAAAGAAAATCGATGTTATTGGTCAAAGCGATCATGAAGAGGAATGAATAAATATCTTGTAAGAGAATGTTTTCTTCCTGTGTCCTATAATGGACAATAATAAAAATAATATTCCGCTCTATCACCTCATAATAAAATATCTTCTAACGAAATAATATTCATATTTTTTCAAACAGGAACAATTATTTGAAATGTTTGTCTTAATCAAAGAATATCATTAAGTGTGTTTCTAAAAACATTGAATAATAGCTCTCAGAACATTCAATAATCATGCCTCAATGATCTTCAAATTGTTTTTTGTAGGTCATGTGATGTGATTGGTTGTGCATACGTTGAGCACTGAGATGTTTTCTTTTCGATATCTTGTTCAAAGTCTTTCTTCTAGTTTTGCAACGTATTTTCTAGCACATTAAAGTTTCTAACCTTTCTGTCTAAAACGATGACTAATGTTTTCATTCTAATCGCACTACAATAAGTCTGATCTAACCACTGAAACTCGCTATTATTAGAAAAACGAATTATAATTGAAATTCAACGAGCAATTGTTTATCTATTCTATTTCATATTTGGGAATGCATAAAAAAGAATTGATTTCTCTGTTAAAAGGATCAAATCATCTTTTTTTTCACTAAATGTATTAAAACCTGTTTATACACGAAGGAAACCGTTTTGACTAGTTCAGCTTTCCAATACATCACTTGATCCAGTTATAAAGCGTTTTTTTCTGCATTTTTCTATATGAATGCGTTGAAACAGCGTTGCTGGTGTTGACATGTCTGCATAGGTGCCCAGAACTAATCAAGCAATAAAAGATGAGACTGAAACCATAGATGTCGGAACACTCTAATCTTGGAGAGGCTCCAAACTTCGCAGATATAGCATGCTACGCATATTCTTAAATCAATTTTCAGGTCAGAAATTATTCAGAATTGCGGCGCTTTCTTTTCTTTTGCCAAAAATTATTAAGTTAAATAAATCGCCGATTTAATCGCATTACATCGCCACCATTAAAAAAATTGCCGATCAATCGCGATTAATTGACGATTTTTTGTCACAATCGCAATTAATCGTTAATATTCTGAAAAATCGCGATTAATCGTTCAAACTTAGGCGGTTTTGATGACATGGGTAACAAATTTGTTTTTGAAATATCGCGATTAATTGCTGATTTTTTTGGTATCGCCACTAATAACCAAAACTAACGCGATTTTGATGACATGGGAAATGACTGAGTATTGCTATAATTTCTTAGCTTGAGTCAAAAAATTTTAAGTTAAATAAATCGCCAGTTTAATCGCGCTATATCGATAATATAAAAAAATTACCGATCAATCGCGATTTAATCGTTAGTATTTTGAAAAATCGCGATTAATCATGAAAACTTAGGCGATTTTGACGACATGGGTTGATATTATTAATAACTTCATTAATTATTATCTGGCGTTATACAATAGTTTTAATTCTTTCAATATGGTTATCAAGTATATGTCAACCTATACTTGAATGGCTTGATAATCGTTTGTAAGATAGATAAATAATTTTAATTCTATTTATTTAAATTTTTGTTTGTTAATATAGACCATTAATAAATCGATGTTAAGCAAAACGTTCACGTCCAGCAATAGCAGCATTTCTTATTATATTTCTTGTTCTTGTTGTTATATTACCAATTGTTTTAATAATAATTGCATTAGCAAGTTCAACAATTAATTTTGTTTCAAGTATAGCTAATTTTACAACAGTTCAACATACAATTAGTTTAATTGTACCATCAATAAATGATGATTCAACTAAATCTGGATTAAATATGAATAATAATAATAATAATTAAAATATAGCTGGTTTTATAAAAAGTAGAAAAAATTTAACATTAAATTTTTTTAAACGTTTATTAAGACAACATGATTCTATAAGTAATGTTTCACAATTATTTGGTTGAAATGCTTTATCAGTTCTATCAATTGTTGCTGGTGCAACAGCTCAAATAAGACTAAAATTATAAGGATAGAATTTTGAAATTCATCTTTTTTTTCTTAGTTCGCAATTGGTATATTAATATTTTTGATAGCAACATATACATTTTTATTACATGGTAATGAAATTCGAACATGGACAATAATTCATAGTCCATTATCATCAAAACATATGAATCGTTTTTATGATGCATTTCATTAAACAGGTCGAGGTTTATTAATTGGTGTTTGTTTAACTTGTGCTGTGCAAGGTTTAGTAGCTGCTATTGCTTATTTATGTTTAAAAATTCCTCGATGGTATGCACTAGGGGTACTAACTGGTATTTGTTCATTAATTCCAATACTTGGTACAGCTATTGTTTGGATTCCAATAACAATTGGTCTTTTTATTCAACAATCTTATGTTAAAGCAATTATTACGATTATTGTTGGAGCTTTTGGTATTGCATCAATTGATAATTTACTTCGACCAGTTTTTTTCTAAATTAGGTTCATTAAAAATGTCAACATTATTATTATCATTAACTATTTTTGGTTGAATGGAATTATTTGGACCACGGGGAGCTCTTTTAGGTCCATTAATTGTTCAATTAGCAACAGAAGCTATTATTTTGATTACAGAAGATGAAGATGAACAAACAAAATACTTCGAGATTATAATGCTTTTTTTGGTTTAAAATGTCTGTATATTATGTGTTTTAAAAACATAATAAAAATAAATAACTAAACAAATAAATAGGATTTATATATATATATATATATAATCGGATAGTTTTATTCGGTAATAAATATTTATTTATGAATAAATGAAAGGAAAATAAATGAATCAAGAGTTAGTGTGAGTAAAAATTGCTACATTTATATATTGAATATTGACTATGATGGCTTTAGCAAAACCTAAATATTAATCGTTTTAATTTGAAAAAGCAAAATTTTCTTATTTTAATGACGGAGACACACAATAAAATACTAAATAACGTAAAAGTCAGCACAGTATTGATTAAAAATCTGGATGTTTTACCTTACATATCATCGTTTTGTATAATATAACCGAACACAACACACCTCTGAGAAGTTTTACATGAATTATAAATTTTCTATTTTTATAACAATACTATATTCATTTGTAACGTGTCAGAGTAATTCAAGAGGAATGTCAGCAATTGATCTTTGATGATTCTGATACGTCTCTACACTAGGGATGAGCAAAGTTGACTACTTTGGAAACAGAATAGACTCGATCGTTTTTGGAATCGTATCAGAATCGCTGATACCTATTTTGATTTAGAATCGTTCACTCTGTGATTAAAAATTCATTGTAAATCATTCAAATGAGCCATTGAACTGAATGTGTCTTATGCTGAACAGAACTAGCGGTATCTTCTTTTGTTATTTATCAAATTATTATTTATGGTTGATGCGGCTGGCTTTTAAAAGTAAGAGTGCATGGCACCATATGTATGTCTTATAGTTACGATATTAGAGAATAATGAATAATTCTGAAGTAGAAATAAAATCAAGACCTTCGTTTGTTGTTTAAATAACATAATCGATACTAGATAATCTATAATCATCCTTTAAAAAATTTCGACCCAATTTTTCGATAACACGCGAATTATTTTTAATTCCTGTTAATTTTGTTGTTTATCTTAATATTACCAAAATGAAACCAAACAGACGAAAAATCTCCTTATCAAGAATGTTAAAAATGTAAAAATACCAATCATTCTTAATTGTATATTTGATACGATTTTTAACAGGAAGTCTGTTAATACAAGCTAATGTTTTAGCATTGAAAATATTCATTTCTGGAAGAAAGTTCATCGAAAAAAAAATAAAAATCTAATTAGAAGTTCGCGATAATTGATGATTAATCATCATATGCTTTATAGCGACGAACATCGATAAATACGATTTCAATCAATCAAGAAATTATATAAAAATTTAATATTTAGTAAATGTTAATAAATTCCCTAAATATAAAAACTGAAATACATAGATATTTTCAAAATAATGTAATGAATTATTATAAATCAACTAATTATCTTATCTTCATATATTAACAAAACTTCAAAACAACAACGAGCACTAATTATTATATGGCTCATACAATCAATACAACAGATCATTCAGAAAAGTGGAATGTATGAAACAAAAATTCTTTCTTTCATTAGTCAAATTTAAAAAAAGATTATGTATTAATATATTTTTATAAAATGTGTTTAGTATATATTTGTTTTCAAACGATTATTTAAATAAGTGCTTTTGTATACGTTAGCACTGCTTTATTCATAAGAATTTTTTTTTCTTTTTTAATTACTATGCATTTTGAAATCATTGATTTGGCTGTTTGTTAAAAAGTAAACAAAGAAACGCATCGTTGTCTATGAAAATGTTCCCGATTTCAAATATGCTGTCTGCATCATGCCTTTTTTCTTAATATATAAATAGAATAAAATCTTTATTTAATCATACAAAAACCTGATGACATAAAATCAAAAACTAAAATCATAAATCTTCTTGTGAATATGATTAAATGCCAATTAGGATTTGTTTGATGATTAATTAATCTTTTTCTTCTTCCTTGATCTTTTCTTCGTCAGTTAATTTACACTCATCCATGAAAGCCTTAAATCCTTTTTTGAAACTCGATTCAAAACTTGGTACGTTTTTTGACAAGATAGAAAAAAAAGGAAATGATATGTAGAAAACCACATTGATACCTTACTCGTTAAGAACATATCTATAAATGTTCAATGGCAACATCAATTTGTTATCATCACGCTGAAAAAAAATTCAAAAATAAAGCATTGACGATAATATAATGTCGTTAAAACTTACTTTGAATTTAACAACATATAAATCTTCGTGTGGACCAAATGTTGCTTCAAATTGAATACCTTCACAACAGTAATCAATAACCATTGTTTTGTCTGGTGCCATGTTCCAAGTAATGATTTCTTTTTCCTAAATGATAAAATAAAATAGAAAATTGATGCAATCTATACTTTACCGGTTCATTGGTAATCACGCATTCATTTTTGAGTAAAATCCAATGACTTATAATAATTAATTTGTCCAAGTCATCGATACAATTCTGTTTATATAATCAAAAAAGACTGTAAATAAATACAGCTGAGACCATTTTACCCAGAAAATATAGCGTGTAAATAATATATCAGAATAAATTCGACAACGAATGTGTACGTCTTCTACTTCTTTACTTTGCTTTTATAGGGTAAAATACAAACACGAAAACAAGGACAACAATAGAAAGGAATATAAAGTTAATCAAGGTCAAAGAAAATAAGTAATCGATGTGAAATCAAGATATAGAAGATATCAGAATAACAAAGAAAAGAAGAGAAGAGAGCATCGAGGTGCACGTCGCAGTAATACACTGTAACAAAGCCTTTAGTAAAATAAACAGCAAGATTAGAGATATAGAAGCTCTTTCTCTAACGAAAAAGTTTATTAGGACAATCAATAAAAAATTATTATTTTTTTCTATTAAATAATTTATTCTTCATATTACAATTTGAAAAATAATATTCTGAGGAAGATATTTTATTTTCATCAAGTAGAATTTCTAAAGCGATTTATCCTACATTATTTCGTTAATAGTTATAGCATTAATTGCAAAAAGGGTTGAAGACGCATTTAGAGAAGGAATTTATGAAGAGAATGTTAAATTAAATGGTTATTCATATTTAGGTAATAAAGCATTACGTAAAAAATGTCAACGTCAAAGTGGAAGTATAAATCATCATCCAACAAATATTCAATTAGCAAATAGAAGTTATTTAATTTTAACATATAATGCTGAATATGATAGAATTTATTACCCATTATCACTTCCATATTATGGAAAATCGGATTCTGTTATTTTAATGCAACAAATTCGATAATTAACAGCTGAAAATCATTTATTAAAATCTCGAGTAAAAATTTTCTTAAAATTTCTTTAAATAAAATTTAATAAATATTTTTTTGGCTTGAATCTGATGTTGAACGTAGTGATATAATACGTCTTCAACGAGAGTAAGAATTTAATCTTTATTGTTATTTTAATCTATGATTTTAGACAGATGTACTCGTTTAAAAAAAGAAAATAATGAATATCGTCAACAATTATCATTAAATCATTCAAATGATCAACAGCAACAACAAATTGAATTATTACGTCAAATAGTGCGTTAAAGTGAATATGCTTTACCTAAAGAACGATCAATTCAACTTAACGGACAGAATAACGAATGATCTATAAGATTTTTATTAATAAAATAAATTCTTTTAGTTATTCTCCTCATTCCTCACAGCAACAATCACCATAATTATCTCGTCCATCATCAGGTGATCAACGTCAACATCGTTCTGATCATTTATTACCAACAGTTTTATCTCGTAATCGTGCAAAATATCGTTCAAATTAAAATCATTCTCGTCGAAGTGGAAGTGAAACTCGTCATCATTCATCAAGTATTACAAAACGATCACCATCCCCCGGAGGTTTATATTTATTTATTTATAAATTCTAAAAGAAACTCAATTAGATTCTCGTGGTCGATTGAATCCAACAGCTTATATTCGTGAAAGAAATCTTAAATTACGACAAATTGAAATTTAAAAGTAACTATTATTTGTTAGTTTTTATTAAAAGAATTGTTTTATAGAAGTACAAAAAGCTCGACAAAAACGAAGTGCTGATGGACGTAGTTCTGATTCGGATATGAGTGGTAACATTATTTAGATTTCTTAATAAAAATTTATTTTTATTTCTAGATTTTTCTGCACGAGGTGGAAGTAAAGTAGGATCAAGTAAAAAATTATTTTTTTAAATTTTTATTTATCTAGTTTTATCATATTTAGTTGCTAGATAGTGATAGTGGTTTACGCACATCAGGTTCTCGACGAAATTCAGGTCGAAAACGAACAAGTAAATTTAATCAATGTGAATCAAAAGATTCTACTGATTCTGTATGGAAATTAAAGATTTAAATAAATTATTTATTTATTTAAAAAAATAGGATATTGAAGGTGTATCATCTCCACCTGTTCTACGTAATAGAGCATAAAATACTCTTTCACAAAACTCACATTATCATGATCAACAAAGTAATTTATTATTCTATTTAATTAATTCTTTATTTATTTATATTTAGATATAAAACTAGAATCAACTAATGTAAATGATACGGTGCGGGCCGTAAAAAGCATGTACTTTTTTGTTTTTACGCATAAATGAGTAAAAAGGATAGTCTGAAGATTTTCTTTCATATCAGAGTTTGTAGAGAATTTTTCGCTGATCATTTTGGTAA